TGATATCAATCCACAGTTAAACTCGTAAAATAAGATTATTGGTAACAAAATGTGGCCTAAACCTCATCCACTTACCATAAGCGTGTCAGTGTGCGTTATGTGAAACAAATTTATCCAGTACATTTAGAAAATGTTTCACACAAAATAGGTGTTCAGTATGTTAGTTAGTAACTAACAGCTGAATTCATACTATTCATTGAATGGTCACTTTCACGTAGAAGTAATACACTTTGTAATTCCAGATAAACTTTACTGAACATCTTGAACTTGTTTCTGTGGTAACAGAATCCACCGTTTAGCTATGAATCAGCAGTCAGACAATGAAGCATGAGTTCATTTGAAAAACGGTCATGTTTTATGTAGAGTTGAAAAAGTTAGCTTCATAATCACGTTTGCACTGAGAGCAGTGCATGTAAAAACAATAAAAGCTTCTCAATGAAACCAGCCAGCTGAGAGAATGTAGCCACATAAAAACGCCAAATTCTATTTGAAGGAATTAATCACATCCTCCACGAATTTAGAGATACTTGCTATTCCTGTATATAAGACACATAAACGCATCTCATCTCCTCTCTATGCATCGCAAAACATCACTAATACAATATATTACTCTCTGGTGACTGACATATATTTGTCAGATTTCTACAATTCAGGTAATCTGTGTATTATATTCGCTTGTGTGAAAAGGTTCTTAGTTTTACTGAAATGAAACGGGAAATATTCGGTCGAACGGTTATTTCGGTGACCTTTATCATGGCTTCAAAATTTATAAATTCACAGCAATTGTCATATGATTTCCATTAAAGACTAAACCTAAATTATGTCAGCCACAATGATGAAGTAGATAGAATCGTACAAGAAGATGAAATGGCAGTCAGATCATTGCTGTGATTCAACTGTATGCGAAATGTATAGTCAATGGATAAACGATAGAAAATTATGAAATATTTTATTCGCGAAATTTATAATTGAGGTTGAAATGGGTAATCAGACTGTGGAATTTTATAAGGATATGGATTAATTTCTGTGTAGATTTCATCTTGAACTGAAAGCAGGTAGAGATCATTGGTAACCAGGTTGTACTGGACAGCTGTTTTATCCCCAGTGTGTGACGTTTGAGAAGTAAGCACCCACGAACTGACTGCATATCGAACCTCGGACCTTTACGTTACGAAAGTAAGCTCGTTGACCATTCAACCACCTGGGCTACAATTCGGTGACCTGGAAATTCTAACTTCTGTCAATTTGTGATATAGCACACCTCAGCAAATGCCTACAATGAGTATTTTGTTCAACATTTCATACATAACCGTAAATGACTCTTCTGTTTTGATATGAAACTACATATCCTTTAAATGAGACAAGATGACACTACTTATCGACTTAGTTACTTCATGTTTAAGCCAGATTTTCCTGTGTCCGATGCTGTTTGTGGAAACATTCCTCAGAGTCCAATTTTTAGATCTAATGCACAAGGATATGTACACCATCGATACTTCATCTATATTGAAGAGTGTCAACAGAGGTCTTGTTGAGATATTTATACATATAACTTCGTGACCTTGAATGGTTTTTCAACAGGTTTGATAAGCATGAGTAGAGAAGCTGTCTGTCACAAGATTATGTGGATGAATATGAATAAATATAAATATGTTTATATTCGAGTGACTTCCGAACTCGAATCGAATAACAAACTCGGTTTCCTGGATATAACAGTGACCAGGAGAGATGATGGAACGATTCAGCGATCTATTTCTCGTAAACACACATGGAGTGGACAATATCTTCATTTTACCAGTTATGTTCCTTTCCAGTATAAACGTTTCCTAATGAAATGTTTGTTCTCAAGGGCCCGAAAAATATGCACAAGTGACACATTGATAGATGAGTTTCGACATATACATTCAGTTTTATTATCCAATTGTTATCCAAAAAACTTGATCACTTGTCACAGTGATGAAAGACCACATCTCAAAAGGGCAGCTTCCGTACCAAAGAGAGCTCTCTTTATTAACCTACCATTCAAGGGTGACCAGTTAACAGCTCAAAGACTTTGGTCAGCCATCAAACGCACATTCTACGCCACATCTCTTTTTCTCACTAGCCGAACATTTTCGATCCCTGTACCTACGATTAACGGACGAAATTCTGTGGACTCCACTTCAAACTGTATCTACAAGTTCACCTGCAACTACGCTGACACACACTATATAGGTAGAACAAACAGAATCTTCCAATGTCGCGGTCGAAAAGAACATGTTCCACAATGGCTACTAAATCATATCGAAAATCCCAACGCGATTAATCTTAGTAGAAATCCAGCATCATCCATTGCAAAACACTTATTAATGTCAGGTCACAAAATCAACATTAATGACTGTTTCACAATTATTTCACATAACTTTAATTCACGGCTGGTTATTGAAGCTGATGGAAGCAGTTTGGACTGATCACATACACCCTAAACTGTGTGTACAAAAATCAATAGACTTCAATCTTCGCCTACCCTGGACTTCATGACCTATCTAAATATGATTGATCACTAGTATGTACTTTTGTTTCCTATTTAACTGAGTATTTTTCGTGAACTTTATTTTATCATTGTTAACCATGTTAGTTGTAAAGCGGTTGTAAAGAAACTACGAAATGATGATATCATCTCGCGAAATTTGTCTTCTTAACTCCTTATCCAAAATTGGAATGCTTTCTTGATATTACTATTATTATTCGAAAGTGAATCTGGTGACTGTGCCAACACTCGGATCAGTTCTCCATAAAAATTCTTATCGCAAAAAATAAATGTATTGCTCATTTAAAGCCAGTAATATTTAAGCTTAATTAGCGTCTTTCTCAAGAGGTCATTGTCCCAATTTCGCAAAAGAAAATGTCAGCCAATAACAGGTCAAGAATGAAAATCATCTTAGCCGTATTTGTTTTTTGATAAAATTCTTTGTTAAGCATAAAGTGGTCATTTATTGTGCACCTGCACAAAAGTTGGTGAATTTTCGCAGATTTACATCTGCAATATCGATTTTTCGTCCCGCAATCAGATCGCATATATGAAGTCAATTTTTTTTACACGAAAGACATTCATGAACAATGACATGATATCTAAAGAGAGGAATGTTTCATTCATTATTATCTAGCAGTGAGGTGTCCCGGGTTCAGCTTCCGGTGCTGAAGTGGTTTTCGCGCGTCGATGGCACAGTGGTAGAATGCGCGGTAACCACGCTGCTTGGGGTTCAGGGTTTGATCCCTGGCCAAATCACTCCCAAACCTCACTAAGCCAGTAATGAGACTAGTAAAGAAGGAAGGTTGAGCATGAGGCTAGCAACCCTGTTCCAATGCTACTGAATCTTCAAGCCTATAGCTTGAAGCCCTGTGTTCCACGTGGAACATAAAGTTTTATACACAAATTGATGTTGACAAATGCAGACGCACGTTTGATTATATGTTTCACTAACTACTAGTGTATACTTTCCAGTTAGGCCACTTTCATTTAGTTAGATAACATAGTTAATTTGACAAGTGCAGAATAGAATGCAGAGGAATGGCCAGTCCAAGGATCTTCAGTAAGCCATACAGACTAGTTGTGTGATTTCAACAAAGTTTTTCTAACTTTTTTTAGTATATCTTTGATATCTTAATAAAATACCTTTCCGTAGCTTCACACAAATCCCCAAGATTACTGATATTTTGAAAGTTGAAATGTCCTTTGTAGTCGTGTCTATTGACAGTAATGGTGTCAAAACTATCTGTCAGGTCAAGTCATTATGAAACTCTCACTTATTTACATGGGATATGTGATATGGCTTTAACAATTGGTTACAGGATTTCATCATCAACTGACATCCATTAGAGAACCATTGAAAAAGCCACCAGGGGGTATTCGACAGCCTAGTTAGGGACTGACCCTTCAGAAATACGCATCCACCCTCAGGTTTGAACACAAGGACTTCTGGTTACAAGCCGAGCTAGCTCGTAGACCATTCAGCCATGGAGATTCTATATAGTGGCCCATGAATTCCAACTTCTGCTAATTCACGACATAACGCGGTCTCTAGCCAATGTCTTCGGCTAGTATTTACCCTCATACTCGAACCTATTTCATTTTTTTAATTTTTTTATTTTTATTTTTGATTACAGCTTGATTCCACACCGTATTTTTGGTACAAGTATGGAATTTTCAGCGTGGATATCGTTAGCCCAAGTTTTGCAGGCCAACCATAGATATCAGGTGTGCGTCGTCATGGGCTTGAACCCCGGACCATAAGCATGGTCGGCGAGAGTCCTAACCACTGTGCCACCGACGCACATATACTACTGGTTACGACTTCCAACTAGAACCCCAGGGAACTTTCTAGATGAATAAGGCCAGTCGCTAGTGAGCACCTCATTGATATTCACGAGATAATAATTGTTTAGTAATTTAGACAACTTAATAAGAATTATGAGTTCCCAGTTTGATGACACCTAGAACTATCAACTCAGCCTGACTTCTGTACAATTTATCTTAAGAATGAATTAGTTTCACAAAACTGGCAGAATGATAAATATGGTTGTGTGGAAACGAAATGTTTGGAATTAGTTAGTCAGTTAGTTAGTTAGTTAGTTAGTTCATAAGACTGCCACATACACATTTTCACTTAATTCTTAAGAAACCTGAGAAGATTAATTTTAGCTGAGATTTGCATGATCTTGATTTCCGTTTTGTTTTGGAAACTTTTGTTTTTTTCTCTTTTAAACTGGGCTGAACCGATTTCATTTTACCTCGTTACTCACCTGTATTTTGTTACAAAATTTCAATTCAAAATGAATCAGAAGGTTTCGAATTCGTTTAATAAATATTTTGTTGTTGTTGCTGCTTTTGTTCCGTTAATGAGATCTATTTTGATTTCATGGTTAAAAGATAAACAAACGGCTGAGATTATAGAAACTGCTTCCCCTGTCAAAATGGTATATAAACGCATGATACGCTTGTATCAACATCATATCAACATCATGTACACCATCTTTCTATCTTTCTCTCTGATATCTTTGTACTTCTTCCAAGGCTATGAGAGCGCCTGTGGACCTCCACCACATTACGAGATGGTAATTTTTCACACTTTTACTTCATACCTAATTTTTTGCATTCATCACAAATAGAAATATGCTGTGAGAGACGAATCATATCCTGTGGACAAGCGTTCAAATTCTGCAGCACTCAAAATTACCGTTATATACACAAAAAATTTTGAACAACTGAAAAATAGTAGTGCAATAAAGGTGAGTTTCACTCATTTGAAACTATGAAATCATGATAATCTATAAAAAATGATATCAGATCATAATCATAAAGTATGCGAGTAAACTAATCAGGTTTCACTTTAAAAAATGATTCCTAGAATTAGGTGAATCTCAATACAACGTACAAAACAGGTTTTATAGCATCTTGGAGACGTCTAACAGTTTTGTTATACAAGGAGCATCCACTTTACGGTGAAGAGTATTTCTTCACACTTCTGGACATTCTCAACTGTCACTAAACGTTACATCACCAAATGAAATAACTAATTGTCATGTTAGCTATGTGAGCCATAGCGTTAGTGAAATGAATTTAAGTGTTATGAAGGATAATTTCTTATGCATTAAACTATGTGAAAAGTTTATTGACTACATGTAAAGTTTTCCATATACCTTGATAAAATTTTCATATTCTATGACTAGACCAGAATGTTTTGCCTCTAAGCAAGTAAATAAGTAAGTAAGAGAAGATGAATGTCACAATGTAGGATTTGAAGACTATTCTATGTAACAGTGAGATTTTAATTCACTAATTCATTTAAAGAAGCTGATCACGGTATTTCTGATATTCTGTTACAAACTGTCAATTCAATTATGCAAATGTATTTATTCCCTAGACTAAAATAGTTCAACGTGCTATTAATTTCTGGCAAAAAACTTTAACAGTTAAAAATACTACAACTGGTAAAATTCATTTTCAAAGGTGAGTCATTTTATTGTGATTTATGATTTAAAAATTCTTATGCAATTATGTATTGAGAAGTCGTGAGTTTCAGTAGCTTCTTCTCAGGATGCGTCCTATACGAAACTTGAACAGTGTTTGGCAGTGAAGCCATACTATAATATAACATCTATGCAACAGTAACAAAATATCTTTCCAGTTTCAGTCAATGCACCATGATATTTCATACTGAAGCTATCATCAAATGTTATACTAAGTAAAAGAGTACCTTAAATTATTATTATATTATTATTGTATCCTTTAATCCCTAGAGGAACATAGGGCTTCAGCCGCGCGTTTCCATTTACTTCGATTTTCTGCCAACTTTTTCACTCCACTTCAAGTCTGCCCACATCCTTTCAACTCCTCTTCACATGACCTCCTCCAAGTCACCCTTGCACTGACGACCAACTCCCCGCTTCCCTTTCGGGTTCAACTCGAGTAATGGCTTGTCTAGCGATGTCACTTGATGGTTTGTTTTCTCAGAGTATGGCCAATCCATCTCCATTTCTTCCTGTATGTTTTTTGTACAATCGGTTCATGCTGGGTTGGTTCGTTCATTGCCGGAGATCCCTGTTGCTGATCATTTCTGGCCATCTGATCTTGAGTATTGAGCAAAGACAACTGTTAATTAGGGTCTTTAGTTTACTTGAGATGCTCTTCATGATGCGCCAAGCCTCTGATCCGTATAGTAGCACTAACTGACTCCACATTGAGGTGGAAAATCCGGATCTTATTTCCATTTTGATGGTGAGTGCTGTTGACCTCCACACAGACTTGAGAGTAATGAAAGCTTACCTACCTTTCTTTTCCGGTTCTCGCTTTGATATCTTCGTCGGTTCTGTAGACTTGTAGTTGAAACGGTGCTTCCCAGGTAGGTTGGTAAAGGAGGTTGTTTCTTTCAGGTTCCTCCCATTTATTCTGATTGTTGTCTGTTGTTGGTGTTGTCCAGGAATTTTCATCACCTCTGTTTTGTCTATGTTCACTTGAAGTCCTATCTTTGATGCTTCTTCTGCCAACTCGTTGCTTTTCACTTGCATATCTTCCAGTTTGTGGGAAATCAGATATATATCATCGGCAAAGTCCAGATCCTCCAAGTCTCTTTTTGTGTGAGTCCATTTTATGACTGTTTCCTCGCTACCCGCCGTTGTCTGTTGCGCTATCCAATCTACTGCAATCAGGAAGATCATTCACGATAGTAGACAGCCTTGCCTTACCCCCGTCCCCATTTCGAAAGATTCCGTGAGTTTCCCGTTGTGGATTACTTGTCATGACGAATTGTCGTATAACAGTCAGATGAGATGTATAACTGTCGATGGGACCCCGTAGTAGCAAAGTAGTTGCCAAATGACCACTCGATCGACGCTGTCGAAGGCCTTTTCAAAGTCGATGAAGTTGAGATAGAGAGGTGACTGCCATTCCAAGCTTTGTTCAATGATGATCCCTACAGTGGCGATTTGATCAATGCATGACTTGATTCTCCTGGATCCAGCTTGTTCTGGTCGGAGTTTTGCATCCAGGGTTTGTTTGATTCTCTCCAGGATGATGCGGCTTAGTATTTCGCTTGAGATGGACAGGAGCATAATTCCGCGACAGTTTTTGCATTGACTTAAGTCTCCTTTCTTTGGTAGTTTGAATAAGTGTCCTTTCTTCCAATCTTTGGGTGCTCTGCCCTCTTTCCAAACCTCCTCCACCAATAGCGTCATCAGGTCCGGAAAAGTAAATATTGATTATGTACCAAGGGAAACATTCGCACTGTATTTGAGAATTCAAGAATGTTAACAGCACAAACATATATTTACAGTCTGTAGGAAGCGATACAGAATTGTGATTTGGTAGCAGGATAGTTCAGGAGTGCGTCGGTGGAACAGCGATTAGGACGCTCGCCGACCATGCACATGGTCCGAGGTTCAATCCGTGGCCCCCGACGCACTCCTTTACCTCGCTAAGCCTGAAATAATGCTGTTAAGCAGGAAAGGTTGGGCATGAGGCTGGGAAACGCATCCTGTAAAAATAAACACTGCTATAGAAACTTCAAGCCACTAGCTTGAGGCCCTATTTTCCACTGGGAACATGAAGCGAAAAAAATAGTTCAGGAATATATGTAGTACTATATATCTAAATATTCAAAGCCATTTTGTAAATTCATTAGCCTAACTCATAATTCTTTAGGTACTGCGAAGGTGGGAGGTATAACCAGCTTGCGAATGGTACGATTTTTTGCTGGCAATCACCATGTAGTTCAAGTGAAAAATGCGGTGGTATTAACGTACCATCTCAATATTTGTCTGTAAGTTATTTATACAATGAATAATCGTTATAAATGCACAAAATTTTCAATCCTGTTAACTGGCTTGGTGAAGTCAATATGCAGCCTTTTAAAATGAATACAGTGTTAACATCTGGCAAAATGCATCGGTGGAGGGCCAGTAGAATGCGCGCCAACCATACTGCACATAGTTCGTGGTTCGATCGTCGACCAGCTCACTACTTCACCTCGTTAAGCCAGTGTTTAAACTAGTAAAAAGGTAAGGTAGAGTAGGAGGCTAGCAACCGCATCCAATAAACAAAAATAACACTGCTACTGAAACTTCAAGGCTCTACCTTCAAACACTGATTTCCACTGGGGACGTAGAGGAATAAAATAAAAAATTTAGGTCGACAAGGGTCGTACTTCCCATCTTTTATTCACACTTCTCTTGTTTAAGGCAGTCATCGTTAAAAATCCGAAAAATATTTTACTTTATACGAGATTCAAAGCAGTCCAGCATAGTTAGGGTTTATCTGGATGACATTTACGAAGCTCAGTTTCACCTACTGTTGTGCATTTTGGCAAAACAATTATACAGGCAAGCTGATTACCAAGTAATAAGAGAACCGAGCATAATCTTCTTTCACTGAGCAAGTGAATAGTTACCTAACTTAAATTTTTCACTTGACAACCGACCTAAAGGAGAAGATCTATGCATGAAGTCTAGGCTGTGAGATATATTCAAAAAAATAATTCCATGACGCTATCGAATATTTCATGTCTTTGCCTTTAAAGGATTGTCTGAAAATGGATAATAGAAACAAATTGACGACAGTTTACCAGAAGGGTTCAGGATTAAAGGCAGAAGGTTATTTGCTGTTTGTCGACAGTCAGAATACAGGAAGCTGTATAAATCCCAGTACCAATGCTTACGCTAGCTCATGTCAAATGGATCCGGAAACAGATAGGTAAGAGTGTGGTTAAATGTGAAAAGTGTTTTATTTAAAAGGAGTATTTTATATCGAATTAATAACATTTCCTATCAGCATTTGAATAATGTCACTTTCATACAGGCTCTGAAATTTATGAATCACTTATCATTTTGAAGTGTGTGTGTGTGTATAAAAGTCTTTTATAACTGTATCCATTTTGTTAATTCCTTTTGTACATTTCAGACCGGTTGCAGGTTTCGTAAACTTCTGTCCTTCAAAAACTGTGCTGGAATATCCTCAGTCAAGGTCTTTGTATGATACAGCCAGACATGAGATTGCTCATGCTCTCGTATGTTTCGAACATTTTTTCTAAAAATTTAACCTGCGTATGTATTACGTGAGGATGTATATTAAAATTTGATCTAGGATAATAATTTGAATGAAAAAATAGTGCAGAAAATGCAAAGAATTCATCAAGTTGAACTTTTATCCCTAACCTGACGATAGCAGAAAGTAGAACTGCTTGAAATAGATACCTATACTTTGGCATTTAGTAAATTATTGACACTGTCATATCAAATGATGGTATCAGTCAGAGGTAACGGAGGATGATTCTGCACACTGATCTTATATAGTCAAATTAGGTTACTCTCAGACTGCTCTTGACCTCTGCTGATCTGATTGTATTGGTTGTGAATGAAATTAAATATCGCACGTCCGATGGCAGAATACTTGCCAACCCAACATGTGGTTTGGAATTTGAAAGCCGGATCTCGCTTATCTGGTAATGAAATTGTAGAGAGGAAAAACTGAGCATAAGACTAGCAACTTCCCCATCACCATCCCGCAAAAGACAAACATTGCTGTTACTGGAACTTTAGAGCTGACGCTTGAAGTCCTGTTTCCTGCCGCGGAACACAGAAGAATAAAATAATAAAAGAAAAATGAAGGAAAACTCGGTGAGGATTTATGAGGACCCATCAACATCAAAACAAAGCTTCATTTTCGTATAGTTTTCTGTGTTCCCAGTCGATCTTGAGTACTATACAAAATTAATCATTTGACTGATATGCTATGACGCTATGAACTTAAAACTGATAACCCTTTTGGAAACAGAGAAAACTGATTCATGCAATCATTCGTTTTAAATTAATTCGTTATGAGCTGCAGGTGAAACGTTTAAATATGAGTTTAGATAACACACTGTGAAACAGCATTATTTGCCGGATGGCATTTCGATTGATAGAATGTTTTCAAACGTCATCCATTAAATAATACTGTTTCACTGTGTGCTATATCGAATAAATAAATTATTGTCGAATTTTAAAGTATTCGTTTTGTAAGGATTTTGTTTGATTGGTTGGAGGAATTTATCATGAGCTGAAATCAGTTGGAGCGACTATTGGACTGCTGTTTTGTCAGCCCCGTTAGGAGCTCCTCACCAGTACATACCCACCACAGGAATTTCGAAACCAAGAACTTCTGGTTACGAAGCCGGCGATCTAGTAAACCATTAAGCCAATGGGACCCAGTCCAATGGCCATCTCATGAATTCCAAAACTTACCAGTTCATGACAGAGCGCAACCACTTCACAATGCCTTCTTCGATGAGTTACTGCCTCACCTCAACCTGCTATCTACTTGTCACAGCTTCTCACAAGAACATCAGATAACTACCTACCTGAATAAGGCCAGTCGCTAGTGAGCATCAGATCCGGTCATTGGATCGGGTCCCAGTGGCTTAGTGGTCTACTAGCTGGCTCGCCTTGTAATCAGAAGGTCCTCAGTTGGAACCCTGAGGGTTGGCGCGTACTGCTGAAGGGCTAGTTCCAAACTAGGCTGAAGAAAGAACTGTCCAGTGCTCCAAGGTTTTCCAATGGTTATCTTACCGATGTCAGCTCATGATGAAATCCTCTAACTATCACAGTGCTCAAGTCTTACACATATTTTGAGTATGAGTTTCGTCAAAGAAAATGCAGCTGATGCTGAGAATATCTAATGGATTATTTGACTGACAGACTACTACTTCAGTAATAATGGGTGATGATCCAGTGAGAAATAAAATTTTAGTTGCAGTAAGATTCACACAAGTTTCATCTTGATTCCCAGTGAGTTTTCAATAACCACTCACCACATTACAACCCCAGATGGACGCACTATCCTTTACAGTTAACTTCATGATTTTTATTTAATTTCTATTTGAATATTACATAGTCAGAAATGTTCAAAAATGTACTAATGACATTTTTATTCAATTTGATCATTAATATAAAAGTGTGTTTACATCATCAGACAAGCTTTTCCTTGTTTTTATTTTCTATTGTTCCTGTTCTGTGAAATATTATAAGGGATTTGCACGGAAAAACTTTGCATTCATGCGTGCACCTGATGGAAGTCCTAGAACCCAGAGAGATCCACTCACGAAAATACCAACAATCAGGGATCAATATGGAGTATACCAGCCAAGGTAAATTTTAAAATCAGTTAATAGGTAAACTGCATGTATGTTATTTGCAAATAGCGAACTGTACTCTATGCCCTGCCAATTGACCAAAGCAGTTAGCTAGAAGTGATATATGATGCATACTGACTTGACAGTATGCAGTATTAAGACATTCTAGGTACATTCCTGATGAGACTGGCTACAGCAGCGGAAAACCGTTGACTAATCACCAGTAGGCTAGTGAAAACATCAACGTTAAGCTCATTTGTCATTCTGAATGTGTATTAGGCATTTCGATTTCTCCTGATATTCATGTTCACTAATTGGCGTAAATTGGACATTCGAAATTCAAAATCTTCTGTACCGCCACAAGCACAGATTCAAATTCTAAGAGTGGTCATGATGAATCATATAAGGCTGTGAAAACATGGCCCTCTTTTTCTTCCATTATTGTACTAGTACTTGTATTATTACCGAGAATAGTTCGGTTTCTATTGGCCACTTTATTTTTTCACTACATTCTTACTTCTCTTCTTGCATCAAGGCTTGAAGCTTCAAAATTTTAGCAACATTGTTGTTTTGTAAAGAGTAAGGCTGCTAGCCTTGCGTCCAACCCTCTATTGTGTTCCAGGCCCATTACCGACTAGGCAAGGTTTAGGTATGTGTCAGCCAGGAATCGGACCAGAACTACCTGAGCGGTTGGCTAGCCTTCTACCACAGAACCACATATACCTTCACTGTATACAAGAATTGAAATCGCAATCTTGAATTCAACTATAACGATCAGACTGCCTCTGCCTGTTTTCTGTTCTCTAACTTTCAGCTGACAACTGAAGCCCGAAAACAACCGAATAAGTTTATTTTTTAAAAGAATAAAATGCAAAATGCTGCACATTTTAAACAAATCCATCTGAGTTTTGTTATCAATAATCACTTTCACGTATGTATTCTCTCCTTTTCATGAAAGTAATACAACAGTGAGAGAAATAACACGTAGGTGGGTTAGTGCAGCTGGGACATATACGAAGACATTCCCTGCACTTGTCACAGAAACTATTATTGTAAGTTAGACGTAATATAGCAACTTTTTTATTCATATAATTATACAAAAATTTCAGAAATATTCACCATAAACTGCATTCATTTATGCCACTTCTTATTTTCTTAGTAAAATATTACATTTCTTACAGATGAAGTTTCATAAAATGCTTCGATAAACCGTTTTCCTGCGACCAGAATTTGGGTTTGTAAATCTCTTGTTTGGGAACAAATACTCGCCGATGACACTGGCTAGCGCTCACGCTATATCGTGAACTGGCGTTGGCCGGAATCCATCGATCATTGGACCAGGTCCCAATGGCTGAATTCTCTATGAGCTCGTCTTTTAACTGCAAGGTCCTGGGCCCGTTCTGCGTACTTCTTAAGAATCTCAAACTAGAAAGTAGCAGCTATCCTCAGTACCCCTAAGTTTTCCAATGGTCCTCTAACCGATGTCATTCCATGATAAAATTCTGTAACACATCAAATCCCTGCAAACCAACACTTAAATTAATTGGCATATAGCTGAGAATACTGCTACGATTTGATTTGAATCTCTTCACCATGTAAAGTGATCGAATGACAACAACAATGTACTGAAGTAGATATAGGTAGATAGGATACAACCTGAGGGGAACACTGAGTGACATCGAGCCCCAAACGAGCCTCTCAGTACAACCTGAATTGCAAACGACGAGATGGATGCTTGAGAGAGACAGGGAGGAGATGGCATGAGGAGGAAATGAAAATCTATGGGCAGTTATTGGTCCAGCTAAGGATGACAGAAGACAAAATAATGAAATGGAAATGTGCTATTTAAGCCTTATGTTCCAGTATCTAAATCATAACGAGGCTTAGGCGTTAAGCTTAGACCCTTTGCTATTACCTCACCATTCTTGAAGAGAATGGGGAAATTGCTGTTCATAAACCTTGAACCTTCATTGAAGGCTTTCAACTACCCAAAACCATTTTCTTAAAAAAATATTAGGTGTACTTTAGATACTATTGTAGTCTTATATCGTAATATTGTCTATAGTTTAAACAGAGGTGTCCAGTATATTCGATGTGCCTTCCTAGATTACTTTGACTCTGTACCTAGGCTTCTTGTGTTAAACAAGCTTACTGCGGCACAAGCACAGTGCAGGATTAATAAGTGGTCGCATTCTAACTTTTCTGATAGGAAGCGGTACACTGAATATAATAGGAGGTTTTCTATTGTTCTTACTTACTCCAGACGGTGTTCCTTAGGCTGCATTTTTTCTACTTTTTCTACTTGATTTCTTCTTAAACGACTTCACTCATTCTGATGAAATTAGTTTTGTTGAGTATGCACATGATTTTACTATTTTCATGCCAGTTACTTCTCAACCAGACTTTTCCAAAATGAAAAGCTTTTATCAGACATTGCGATCTCCTGCCGACCCACACCTGATATCTATGGTCGGCCTGCAAAATTTGGGCTACCGATATCACATACTGAAATTTGCATACCTCTGCCGAAAAATACGGTGTGGAATCAAGCTGTAATCAAAAATAAATCTATGTAAGAGATTAACGCAAAGAATTCTGTCTAGCCCTCAACACGCAAATCCCTCCATATATCTCATCAGATAGGACTATAACCACCAACTTAAAAAGAACTTATGCTCAGACGACTAAGTATACAGGCTCTGTGATCCCTCATTTGGTAAGCATTTTACGTAATGAGGAAAGTGTAAGGTGTGAGACCACTAAGATACTGCGAAACACTAAGTAGAACTGCCCTTTTCTTATGCTTTCAGAAATATTCTGTGGTTAATATTTTCAATAAAATTGTAATTTTACATTCATATTCTTATTTAACAATATGATCAGTGTCAATGCCCTGTTAAATGATTTCTGTCCATACAATGTAATGTAAAGAAGAAATTAGATGCAGTATTGCATTACATGCTGAAAATATCAAAATTATCATTTAGAATGCAGCCATTGTTATTATTCTAATTCATAACTGAAAAGGATTGGTTTACGGAGAGCATAAGTAACCTATTTTGAAGTGGTCCATGATTTCTGACATCCATAACCTCTTGCCACCATTCATTTTCCAGTAAAATATATTCACGCATCCTTTTATCATATAAGCGCAGTTGAAAGTTAACTCCTCCAGGTATCTGATGTCGAAATTAGAGCCTCTTATGAGATAGACGTTTAGATTTTCTCACACGTTGATGTTCATTATCTAAGTATAAAATGCGCCTGACTGGAATAACAGAGTGTGAAACAGAATACAAATTAGTCAGATTGAGAGACAATGAGGATTTGGTTTCAAAGAGGATTGAATACACATGGTCACTGACTATCGGATAATACCTGAAATACCTGGGGAAAAATTCTCTGATTTACTTACACTTCAGTCAACCGAAATTCTTACGAGTAAGCGGAAAGTCTACAGTAAACAGTCTATAAACGTAGTCTCAGAAAACGATAACATACAACAACACACAACAATGAAGCAATAATGAATAAAACCTAATCAAACGCGTGTGGTAAAATAAATCTTACCGGGAAATTCATGTGTGCTTTTACTGTCCTTAAAAGTTCTCCCAATGGATTTCCCCTTTTGTTAACTTGATATAGATGCATTATTAGCCTTATGCTTTTTTCCGTAATAAAAATATAAGTTAACAGAAATCAAAATTTTATTTAGATTCGTATTCTATTGTATTTTAGAGAGAAGCAAAGAGTCATTTTCAGTGTCAATCTGTAGATGGTGTTGATTTGGAAAACGAAGGCTCTTCCGGTTCATTTGGCTCACATTTTGAAGGCAGAGTATATTCGGTATGGAATAATAGATTTCATCATGAATGTTTTTTATACGATGCCTGAAACTGAATTGTACTTCCTAACTCGTCTAAAAAATATCTGTTGTTGCAAGCAATCGGCTACAGGAAGCGCTACCTGACCTAGGTCTCGTGCCAGTTGGCACTCACCAGTCAGCAAGGCCTATCTGCGACCTCGAAATAAATCATGTCCCTTCTGATATTCGAACTCGCGTCAGCCAGTGTTGCAGTTGAAGACATTGCCACTGAGGTATTTGGGGTCGTGATTGACCTCCTGTCGGACTATACTGGATATATTTGATGGAATACCAGTCAGTAACTAGTGTATTGTGTCTAATCGATAGTGCCCATATTGCAAGCTTAACTGATAGAATTCAGTCTGCACCAAAGATAGGACCAGACACATTACGCCAGTTACTGACTTGTGCCCAATCAAAAATAGCTGTGTAACGTTTAAGGAAAATTTCATCATGAAGAAAACGAAGGACATTTCAAGGATGAAGCTGTCTTGAAAGTTTGCAAAATCATATGCATATTTGCCAAAAACACAAATTAGTCTGTACCAGGGGGATATTGAGTGTGATTCAGTTGACAATATTACTTCAAGGCGCTTCCTGAAACAAGAAGGATAGAGTTTTGAACTGAAAGTTTGAACTCCTAAACTCCTTCCTACCAGCTCGCTTCTATTTTTATGTAATTGATCGACTATTACATTTTCCCCAAAGTTCTATACACTGGTCAAGTGAACTGTCAACTACTTCGCTTCTCATTTATTGAAGAAATTCCACCTTGTCCAGTTTTGACCTGTAGAAACCACTTCTGAGTACTTGTATTAGTTACATCACTCAAACATCTCCAATTACTCGTTTATATACTGCTTTACTTATTGATGATAAATATGAGTACATTTGAACAGACTTTCATGATGACGTCGTTGATAAGGAAAAATCTCTCCTCTCTAAAAATTTGTGTCCAATGTGTTCAAACATTTGTTGGTAATCAGGAAGAAATGGAGTTGGATTGGTCATATTCTGAGAAAACCATCAAGTGACATCACACACCATGCCATTACTCGATTGGAAACCGAGTGGGAAGCTTCGAGTTTGTAGTCAGGGCGAGGGCGACCTGGAAGAGGTCATGCGAAGAGGCGATGATAATATCTGAACAGACATGAAGCCAGCTGAAAACAGTGACAGAGAAACGAACGCAGTGGAGACGTACCTATGCTCCACTAGGAATTAAGGCAAACGACAATAAAAACAATAATAATAATAATCACAGTAATCTGCCCACAACTCATGAAATCAAATTACTGTGTTCAGTATTAATCCCATACTTGTCATTATACAAGAACTATTCAGGTAAAACAGTTCATATAGTTCGCTGAGAATGTTTCGACTTTAGAGCCAGAAAAATGTGAAATTTACAGGTTAATAATAACCGTCGTGCATTACTTTCATGCTTCGTATTGTACTTTTATTGCAAAATTAGTTTTTATGTATCCCTATTATATACTTCTGAATGTTTCTGATATTATTATTATGTCATCAAGTTATTGTATGTGTTCATAATTCACTTTGGAAACCTGATTTCTTCAATTATAATAATCTATCTTTAGAATGAGCTGATGGCTGCTGCCTCCGAAGTGGAAGCCTTTGCATCAAAATTAACGCTTGCATTTTTCGCGGATTCAGGGTAAGTTGAAACAGGATCATTGTAGACTAAACGCTTTCCTCAACTAAATATCTTACATTACGGTGAAATCTAAATTACAAACTACGCTGTAGAATCACTTCAATTAGCGGCACTGCACGTTTTTTACCTGCTTAAATACATCAAATTCTTTTCTTCATTTTCTCAAGGCTTTATATTTACGTATTTTCAGGACATTTTATCACTGGAAGACTTTGAAGATTTCATTATCTCGGAAACTTTGCATTCATTCTAATGCTTCAGTGTGACGGCTCAGTTTAGGAATTCGACGAACGCTGTTTACTTTCCAAGTTTTACTTTGCACGAAGTTTAAGTCAGATCATGAATTGACATTAGTTTGATAACCACTGAAGCCCTGATTATAAGTCCTGATCAGTGGGGTCCACCAGATTGGGTATCGAGATAAATACTCGCCGATTACATCGACTTGCAGTTACTGTATATATTGTGAGTTAACAGAAGTCAGCATTCATAGACCTGTTCGCCATCTATCCAGTGAAGGGGGGTTTGGCCTCATAACCTGAAAACTCTGGATGAGTACTATTAGGTGTCAAACTAGCACACAACAACTGTTCGGTACTCTTTGTTGTTGTTCTTCTTCTTCTCTAATGGATATCATTTCAAGATCTGACTTGAGTCAGGTTACTTTCAAAACTAGTTAACAAAAAGATAGACAAAATATGAAGTATGTGGTCCACATTGGTATCCCTCATTCCAACAAATGTTCTTACTAAAGTAGCTGCATGCTAGTAACGCTTCTCGTAAACGCTTATAATCCGTATGAATTATTCTTGTTAAAAGTCATAGATTATGCATATGGAAATGCGTACTAAAAAATCTTTTGATGAGTTTTACTGTAGGAACACTAATCGATTTTAATGGATTTGCCTAGTTTAGAAGACAATACACTTGATCCTGAATTTTTAAGAATAATTTTACTGACTTACATTCATTCTGTGCAAGAGTCAATACAATACATGCCTCTTTTTCTAGACTTCTGATGGCATGTTGTCATTTGGTAATCACACTTTCATTGAGATTGTAATCAGTAGTATTTTCAAAGACACATCTACGGAAATGCATGGGACAGAAAGTATATGAGGCCACTTTACTCTCAGTTTTAAAATATGTATGTGAGATTCATAGATAGCCAGCCCTTAAGAGCTTAGATTACTCCCATCATTTTACGAATGAGGATCAACCGATTGGCTGTTGTTGAAAAGACCGTTTTTGTAGACAATTTTCTAAAATATTACAGCCTAGAGGAATAAAAATCATTGCATGAAATGCCCACGTCAGATAGTGAACTCCATAGTTTTGCCATGAAAATATCGTACAACATTTTCGAAACATTTTCGGACAAATACGAGTATCCTGTTATTAACAGAGAATAATTTCAAACTTCTTAGATTCTTCAGCTGCAATTCTACGAATAAAGGCGCTATTTCATCAGACATTCCTTAACCAAGTGTCTTGTCCTCTACGTTTACATGCGTACTGACACTTAACCCCTCCAAGCGTCATCCATCACGTTACTTCAGATTCACTTTCTGCTCAGTATATATGAGCTCATAACACTGACACATCTATACCGGCGATTTCGTAAACAAACACAGCCACGAATATCAACTAGAAGATGATGATTATTTCAATTTTTGTATCATCTCATGGGCATATTCGAAACTCAGATTTAAAGCAACAAGCACCAAATATAGTTTTATATTTACCATTCTTAAAAATTATCATTTGAATCTGGTTTATTTTATTATACTTCTAGGTGGTACACTGTAAACTTTAATTTGGCAGACAAATGGAATTATGCTAAGGGATATGGCTGTGGATTTGTTTCAAGCAGCTGTTACAAGTTCGCTTCCGACAAAAAGAAAAGGTTTGTAAATTAAACATTTTGCCACACAAAGTCTTAACTTAAACGGGAAGTAAATCGAACCTTAGCTAATACATACCTCTATATATGTTTTTCGGGTAATTTGTTTATAAAAGTCACAGGTGTTAAAGATTTCAGCCCGCTTCGTAAAATCTTCGATCGAAATCATTTCCGATTATATTTTGTGAGGCATCGCCTTGAATGTGATATACAATAAATTAGCGATGTAACATTTTAGTACGCTTACTCATTTGCTATGAGGTGGGTCTTAGTTTGATTAGACTATTAAATAATCTGAAATTTTCAGAAAAAGCAGTTTGAGATGAATGCTAATTAATATATGCAGTTTACATAGTTCGAGATGAAATTTCAGAATACTTTCCTTTGAATGGATGGATATGGAATAGATGATATACCGGGTTCCTATCAGGTTCGTCAAAGTAGTTATCCCAAAATCGGGTGATCTGAACTAATTCGACTCTCTTGGCTGACTCATACTTGATACACCGCTGACAGGCTCAACCTGAAACCAGCGAAACGGCTAGCAAACACCATTATTCGATATAAGTGGCAAACAACTACTCATCTCAGCCGAACAGTCGTTTAAGCTTGTTAGTTAAACAAGATTACTTCAAATATTATCACATTTTGAACGAACAGGTTAAGTGTAGATTTTACTCGAAGGATGACAGAAAATATCGTATTGCGTAAATGTAAAACACTTAGCCAACCACTGACAAACTGAAATTATCGGATCAGGTGTAGCATGGAAATTTAGACATACGTCGACAGAAATGTGATAGACGAAACGATACGAAACTACACCAAAGGATGTATCTTGTGAATTATGCGTCATATTAGTGTTAACCATTTTCCAGATGGTCACGCAAATACTTTACACATTAATGTCAAAATTTCCTTTAGTTCTTGTCAATCTGAAAAGAACCAAAGAAATGGAGTGTTGTCATGCGAGGCTCCCCAGTTAATTTGTTAATGCTTCGTTCAAATATATAAATATTTCGACTGATTTGTCATAATGTTCCTTTCACTCGATCTATTCAACGCTCCAAACTTAATCAGTAACTCATGATAAACATTTATGATCAATCATTGAATTGAAAGGAAGCAGTGTAATTGTTTTTTTCATTTTGTTTGTAATTATTATCTTTATATTACAGAGGAGAAAGTATTAAACCCTACTGTGATAAGCCGGATATCGTTACATGCAAAGATCTTTATTCATATGGTCTTTGTGATGTGATACAGTTCCCACTAACTCTGCCACCTGCAGATCAATTTTTCGGTCCTGAAGCAGGTGCGAATTATGCCCGACTGGGAGGAAATGATCCGTTTAAAGACAAATGTCCAACATTAGGGGTATGTGAAATATTTCGCAATAACACAGCAAAAGCACAATATTTATAGTATATCTGTTATAATTTCTGACTATATAATTGTGACTTCTCTCCAAGGAAAATGTTTTATGTTCTATTTATTACGAGATTTACTTTCTAAAAATAGATAACTGAAATTCTTTTCGGTTCTCTCGGCCTACTTCAGCTGATATTCACTTCAGTAGATATGTATATATATACATATTAAATTTGTCAAAATAACATTAGCAAACCCTTTTGGCTAATAAAGAAGCAAGCTTTCTGAGTTCTACTCGAATGTCATATATCAGAAGAGCTGAATGGCTGCTCTGAAATCATGAATTCGTAGAAGTTAGAATTCATGGGCTGGTCAATAAGTCGGGTATCAATGGCTGAGGGGTCTACGAACTTGGTTTGTAGCAAGACGGTCCTGTGTTCTAAGCCCGATGACTGCGTGCTGCCAATGAGTGCCAAATTAGGAAGCAACAGCTGTCGACTACTCCTAACTGGTTTTCAATGGTTCTCTAACTGATATCAGTCCGTCATCAATCTTACAAGAAAATTCAATCGCTTAAAACCAAATCTAAATAAATTGCCTGGAATTTAATCAATTATTTTATGATTGATATTTGATAATACAGACATTTTATGTAAACCTTTCCTTTTATACTGTAATTTTTGCCCATGAAGACTGCACATAGTAGCCACTTTCGAGTTCAACGAAGTGCACAGAATTACCTCATGAAGTAAACGTTTACGTTAGTGAAAATCTTATAAATGCAAATTCAGAAAATCAAAATTGAAGAGAAAGAAGTTTATCTTCTAAATAATTGTCAATTACGTTGAATGTTTCATGCTAACCTACAGTGTATCCCCGTATAAAAAGTTAAATACTTCTAACAATCTCCGATCCATTAACATATCTGAGATATATGTTGCTTAACACCACAAGCTCAGATCGGTTTCTATCGCGTACTTACCAATGAAAAAATTCATTTTTAGCCATACACTGATGACTGCGAATGTAGAAGAGTATGTCTGTGTCTCACGTGATTATTTGCAATTGCATTTAGCATACATTTATCATAATTTTATCGTTTCTACCTGGATTATTCTCTTCCAGTTCCTAAGTTCACTTGGAAAACTAAACGTCACGTCATATTGTAGACATGCAGAAAATAATGCTAAAATTGGTGAGCACTTATTCTTTAGATTTTTCCATCAATAATGTCTTATACTCATTTGCATTGGAGGCAGTTATACATGTATGTGTATATACTTCTCTAAACTAAACCCGAAATTGATTGTGATCATAGTGACAATAATAATAGTTTCATTCTGAAAAATGTATTCATAAACAATACATCATTTTCTGTGTATTTCATCGCAAAGTTCTTACTTCCTGTGCAGAATCTCCAAGTAGTGTATCATCTCCCAAAGCCACATTATCCCATCCTCAATTTCCTTCCAAAGATACATAGAAGCAGTATAGATTGCCATTCATGAACGTGTTGAGATGACAAAAGCAATATGAAATAGATTAAATTGGATGGATTTAGATGAATAGGAAATGTTAGTGGCTCAATGATTTAGGCGGGTCTGTTGTCGCTATTATACTCTATGACTGTAGAGTAAATATCTTTAATTATTTAATTCAATTTTACATTTTCCTGTCGATTGATTGGACCGAAGTGCTCGGTCTCAGGTTGACATGTCTGTTGGCTTCTTGTGCAGATGCTTCGATGATGTCTGGGCGTGTAATTAAAAGTTAATTGGAGGATGGTGACTTTCAGTGGCATCCGGGATGCGCATTTCGTCTTATTCGGGACTCGTCGTCCGGATGCACCAATCGACATCTGATTACATCCCCAGATAATGTCGAAGCATCTGCACAAGAGGCCGACATGTCAACCTGAGTCCAAGGACTTCTGTGCAATCAATCGACGGGAAAATCTAAAATTGAATTAAATAATTAATATGACCCATTGCACAAGAGGTGGCTCTCGAAGCTCAAGTGGTCTAGTGGATAACACTTTGGCGTTCAAAACCATGGGCACAGGGTTCGAGCCTCATTGGGAACACCATCACTGACTCACTGAGGAATGCAGGTACATTTAGAGACGAGTCCTGAATAGGACGAAATCCATATCCTGGATTGCATCTCTAGTCACCATCCTGCAATTAACTCCTAAATATCTTTAAGCTTCATTGGAAATGTTGTTTTAAAGAAGAGGTTAAGAGATAGGAAACGGGATTTGCTGATAACTGATCAAATGAAGATTACAAAAATGTGTAAGAGTGTGACTTTCACCTCGGAAGAAGTTCCAAAATCGGCGTTAAAATAGGTAGTACCAGTGGTAGATAAATTTCTACCGATAAGTGTAAAGCTGATTTCCACAAGTTTTACAACAACTCTGAATTCTCGCTAGGGACTTGCTGAAGGACTGATTTTCCTGGAGTTCTAGTGAGAAGTCGTGATCAGTGACGACCATTCAGCCAAGTTTGAGGATGTATTTCCCACCGACGACATTGGTTAGGGTCGCGCTAACCCACAAATTGGTAGAAGTTAGAATTCATAGGCTGCCTATGAGTCCCGGATTAGGATGAGACAACTGTACAGTACTCCCTGGTGTTCAATGGTTCTCTAACAGGTATCAATCCGTAACCGATTGATCAAAACCCTGAATCTGTTAAATTCAGAATAGCATAAAATTGCGTGAACTAAATTACATACGGTTGTATTCTCTGAAGTTTAATAACTGGAACCTTTCAGAAAACAGTAGACCGAGGTAAAACCCTTTTAAGTCAAATCCTTCTCTTTAAAAAGTGAAAAACACAAATACTTTCATACTGTTTGTGTACAATAATTAATCACACAATTTCCTTGAAACTCTACAGTAATTTTAAGCCATATTTCCTCAGATTATTGCATTTACGTACTAAACCAAGAAAAGATAACCGAAATCTATAAAATCCTGAAGGCTGTGAAGCCGCAAATCCATATGGATATTGAGTAACCCCTTAAGGGTGTCCTAATTTTCTTTTAACCACCGAAGTTTTAAACAATGGCAATGAGCATAAAGACTTCAGAAGAAGCACTCTATGAAACAAAACAACATCTAAACACAGTGTGTTGTACCGACTGATTATTGTGATTTCTGGTAGACATTTTGAACTGCAATGAGAATTTCAAATTTTGCTTATTTTAAAGCTTGTTTTTCTAACCTAGACCGAATTTATCTGTTTGGTGATGATCACTGATAAAATCGAAATCATTCATCCTGAACGTTGGGATACTCATCAAATAGATGACGACTTAATGTCTAAAGCAATGGTATTTGGCTTCCAGTCTCAGCGATAGTGCTGAATCTTACTGGAACTCGGTGAATTCAAGTGATGGACATCATATTGTATGAAACATTTGTCGTAAATTTCACTGATAATTGCCACTGGAAATTCATTACATTTAACGTTTATTTCATAAATTTTACTAACTAACTTGTATGCCTGTATTATTTATAATAGTCAAGGAATACAACACCTTTTGCAGTCATTTGGAAAAGCATTTTGTCTGCAGCATACTGGAGCTTGGAAATATCAAAAAGGATATTCTGTATGGACATTAGACAATTCAGTACAGGGTAGTTGTCACAAAGTAAGTTTATGCATCCGTGCGCAGCATTAATACTTTAGAGTATTGTTTTGGAAATGCTAGTTTTAGATTTAATGACACAATTTGAGTAGAAGAAGTATCAAAACTTCAGCTTTTGGAATTCTAAGATAAACCTTTCCTTTAGCTCAAAATTGCTGCCGAAGATGTCGTCCAGAAGGGTGCTGAGAGCTTCAAAATTCAATCATCTAGCGCAAGGTGTACAACGGTGCTGGATGCACTCAACTGAGTTGTAAAGCTTCTTCACTACTTTAATCTGCTTCATTTTTCTTTCCACTTGATTTGGTTTTTCAATTCCCATTTGATTTAACTAAATCCGTTTATATAAAATCTGAAACATCTTAAGTGGGTTAAATGGCGTGAAAAGATTTATTTCACCATTTCTTCAACTGGATATCATCATTCTATTATATCTAATGTACAGTGGTACAGTGCAACTGCAACATTGAATCAAGAGGGAGAAAGCAGTGTTATATGTCTCGTCTGTGGTGGTGGTGTTGTTGGCGACTAGATTTCATCAGTCAAGTTCCTAATATAATCATTCATTAAAGTCAGAGGACTCGCCGCCACAGTGCCACCGCTTTAGAATGATGTTAGATGATTGCAGTGGATTTGTACCTGTCGGTGAGATGTGTGTATGTTTTGAGATTATGGAGACTGTAAATTTCGACAACAACAATACAAAATGTTTGTTGTCTAAATGCCAACAGTGAAATTATTAAATTTCTACATGACTTATCAGTAATACTCCATTAACATTAAGAGAAAATCTAAGTCATTTTCCTCAGAATTATTCAGTACAATAAAACGTTAGGGCTTAACTATTCAATGAGTTATTTTATTTGTGAGTCAGTTGCCTTTAATAATGAAAACACAGTTCGTTTTTTTTCAAGTATTGGTTTTGTAGGGTACAGTAGGGGGCGTAGGCGGAGATTACGAAAAGTCATCGGCGAGTAGTGCAGTCTTTTCTCCTTCTTACTGATCCGTTCAGACGGACAGCACACATTCGTACAGCAGACTGAAGATGAGGCAGTAACTCATCGAAGAAGACAGTGAGAAATGGTTGCGCTCTCTCGTGAATTGGCAGTAGTTAGATTTCAGCGACCATTGGATAGGGTTCCAGTGGCTCAATGGTTTACGAACTCGCCTTGTAATGAGAAAGTCCTGGGTTCCAACCATGGCAGTGGGTGCTTACTGTGATGAATCTGAAACTAGGCTGACGAAACAGCTGTCCACTAGACCCTGGTTTTCCAGTGGTCCTATATCTGATGTCAGCTCATGATGAAATCCTCCATGCAATTCGTTTTTTAATCTTTTAGTACACGTGCAAAAGCGGTGGTGATATTGATATCGACTTCAGTGGACAAATTGTTACCTGCAAAAAAGATGAAAAAGACAAAACTGCTAAATTTGTTTTGGACGGTAAAAATTATGAAGTGAAAATAAGATGTCCTAATGCAAAGGTATTATGCAAGGTGAGTATGTGTTTCGAAATCAATCTACTCGGTATTTCTGCACTTTGTTTATTTGTCAAAATTGAAATATTTTTGCTTAAAATTCACATTCGTCTTTTGAGTGGATTTTCGGATGGTAGAGAAACCTGAGTCGTTCAGCTTATGAGAACGAGTTCGTTGACCTATTGAGACACTTGAGCAGGAATTTATTAGCGATATATCAATATCCCAATCAATATTTTCAACACAAATCCCATTCGAATAGGTATGGTGGATCCAACGTGTCATTACTTGTCAGTAGAGCTTCAAGATATTCATGTAGTAGTCATCAAGGATTTGGAATTCGATGTTTGGATAAAGCAACATTGTTAAATACTTGTTCCTCGTATCATTTCACGTTAGATAAGTTTATCCAGTGGAACACTTAGTGATGCAGTACCAATTACTGGATGATGTTTTGAGCACAATTTATTCCTCAAAATCATGCCATTTCTACTTGCAAGGCATACCTGCATAGTGCTTAAATCATCTACAGTTTAAAGTTGACAGTTATTAGCGTCAAAAACTTCAAGACTGAAATTACAGTTTCACAAATTTAGAGATACCAAATAATAATTCTTACTCATTAGAGAATACATTTCTCAGAATTTATAAATACTCCTGATTTCATTTTAATGGATCCAGTCGGATGTTTTTGAAATGCTTTTTCTTAAAATAAAAGTAATCTATAGTAGAATTCTATCTGTTTACTTTTGATAAATATGCTACTTTTTTCAGACATGAACTGGGCTGAATGAAACCATCAAGGGACCTTGAATCGCATTTCATTAATTATTTTACAGAAATCATGTATGCTGTGATTAAAAAAGCTAATAAATTTGATGTATAACAAAAATTGCTTACTCGTTTTCATTACGACACATCCTCCAGAGAGAATTAGTATGTTGACTGCTTGATTAGACAAGGCTGACTTAGCAGTTACCGCACAATATTCTAAATCTCATGGGAATTGAACTATTTGCAAACTATAATCTGTTTAGACTTAAGGTATTTTTAAACCTGACACAAAACTCAATATGGAAAGGAGTCCGTGATTCCCTTAGCACACTAAGTGTATTCAGTTGTCTACTGAGTTAACATACCTCAGAAGTGATCTAAGCGATCTTCCTACACGGCGGAAAATTAAAATACAATTTCTGTATTTTATTATCGTTATTCTCTTGGGTTCCCAGTGGAACATGAAGCTTTAGCAGTATATCGCCAATGTAGCAAGTTTTCTGTAGTTTATTTTAGCTGGCTCCATGATTACTCACAGTCATCGTTTCTCGTTCAGGTTCCAATTGAGAGCATAAGCAGTGCTTGACGCCAATCAACGGTTCCTCAGAGGACTGTCAGTCCACCTCAGTTCTCTTATGCATATATTTTATAGCATTCAGTTGTTGGCTGATCCGCTACCAAAGCTTCTTGTTGTGTGTTATGTCTCGTCGGCCATCTGATCTCCAGTATTCAGAGAAGGCAGGTGTTGATGAAAGTCTGCAGCAACCTGTTGGAACTGCACTTGATGACACGCACATCATGTCTGTGAACCATAAAAAGCACTGTTTTTACGGTGATGTTGAAGATCCACATCTTCTTCTTTATTCCGAGTGCAGTGGATGTCCAAACCAATTTCAAAGTAACGAAGCTTTCACACGAATGCAATATAGCAATTCTTCTATGGTAGTGTTCTTAATTTATATAGTCATACACTTGTGAATCTAACTATTTAAGACAAATAGTGGGATCAATTCCAAATTGTAAACAATTATTACAAAGTTATGACAGTATTTGCAATAAATCAAATGTGTAGTTTCCTTCGGATAATAAAATTACTCGACATAGTTTATAGTTGTTTCACCAAATTTAAAATATCAGTGTCTACTGGCGACCATCTAAGGCACACTGCTTTGATATTTCGCGGATTTCCACAAAAATGGAATCAAAAGGTAGTATTTAAAAAAACGTGATAACAGTCTATCATTTAGATGATTCGCAACAGTGCTGTTCAAAGAAACAACCTGAGAATTTATGGAAAAATACACATATCAGTAGCACAGTAAAAGTTATTATCAAAGGTGAGATATCAGTTGATTCCAAAACTCAGGTTACTAAATAAGCGTCGAGTACAAATTTCTTCCTGTCGTGCATATATAAATATATGCTCACAAATTCGAAGGGTCACTACGTGATGTTGGAGAGAAATCGAAGAAATAGAAACAAATCAGCGTCGTCTACATTCAATTGATTTTGAAGACAACAGAGAGTGAGGATGTCGGATAGTGGGAGAGATGTTTGTAGACGATTAACGGATGGATTGTCAATGAGATAAGAGTGAGTAGACTAGAAGTGTTACTTGATGATGTAGCTAATTTTAGGTTGGTGAATATTTTGTAGGTTCTTTGAAGCGATGAGTGATATTTGTTCTGTGAATGACGGAGTTAATATGTTGTCATGGTGTGTTATTGCGTCGGATATTCGTGTGTGTGTATGTGGGTCATTTTGTTTGTATTCATAATTCAAATTGTGGTGTTATAATTTTATTTGGTTGGGTGTAACGGATGATGATTGGGTGACTTAGCTGTTGTGAATATGTGAAGTGTGGTGATTAGGTCAACGTGTGTGTGGCCTTCGATAGTATAGTAGTGAGTATCTCTACGTGTCATGTGGAAGACCCAGATCCGATTCCCACTCGAACAGCTAGCTTCACTTGAGCTGATCAATCAACTATACAACAACTCTAGCACCTACACCTACACCCCATCACTGTCACCATCACATTGACTGACGATCAACCATAACTGCACTCTGCATATGCATCACACGTATAAGCCAGCCGTTCACATGTGACGCTAAACACTCCTAGCCAGAAACACTCCAAATCATAAACATAAATCCACTGATACGAAATGATTGATACAGTACAGTATTGTACGAGTGTTGGAAGAAATGTCGTGTGGACGAAGACTATGTTCTTCTCTTGTGTGAACAAGCCCACTCATATGTGATGAAGAGTATTGACAGGTAAACAGCAATACTTCAATTTGTATTTGACAGACGAGACACTGACACACAGTAAAGGTAAAATATTGCACTAAGAAATGTTGATCGGTGGTAAGACGAAGAGAGAGATAGACGATGGTAGAGCGTGTCTACTGTGTGGGTGTGATTTATATGCATATGTGTCTACGAGAGTGTATCTGTCTCCGAAAGTATGTCTACCACCAAGTGTGTTATTTAGGAATTTCGACACAGTGGCTATTTCGAGGTAAGTGTAGATGGATGGGTGGATATATTGGTTGTGTGTGATTTTGTGAGGATGAGTAAGTGTTGAGTGTTTATTTCTTGTTGATATGTTGGTGTGTGTGAGCGGTTGTAATAGTAGTGCATTGTGTTATGGTTTTATAAAAGAAAAGACGTTCAGCGAAGAGTAACTCTTTACCGCGATATCATTCTCAAGCTGTACCATCGCAAACATTTAGTTAATTCTCTCAGAAACTAAATGGATACTTCAAAGATTTTTCATTAGAATTGTAAATTTTAGTTAGCGAATTGCGTAATGTGTTGTGATTTCTCAAGATCCTCTATCCCCAAGGAGGATCGAACTGCCAATCCCTGGTGTACATGACCAGTACTCTGACCACTAAGCTAAAGAGGCACGACGAACTTACCACCATATCACACATCACACACCCTCCCATTCCAATCAGTCACATTATCACACACTCACTCCAACCTTTTTCCAAATTACTAATCCATCCACTTTCAAATCTTCACACACGTAACTCCCTCAATACATTGATGCACTTCAACAGTCATTTGGACACTATGACCGTCTATGCATCCGTCCGCGTGTCATTCTATCCCTCAGACAACTATCCAGCTAGCTGTCTGTTTATTTCATCATCCACCACTCTGGTATACAACACAATAGACCACTACTCATTCGAACAATTTGTCGGACAGTCAGTCAGTCGTGTAAACACCCAATCTGCCTTCCTACACCTTCGGTCCTCTTCATCACCTCCATCGACTCTGTCTGTCTAGCGAGCCTTCCTTCTACCAGTCAGCCAGTCACTCAATCAATCAAGTCATTTATGGGTAATGCATGATAATAGTCAGCCATCCTTAACGTGCAGTATATTATAGTCACCTCTGCAAGTAACCAATCACCCTATATCTAGACGGATGATACATGCAAACGCACGTACATACATATAGTTGTTGTGCTCATGCCTACAAATGCATTTTGTTTCGGCCAGATGATGTGAATTATTTTCAGAGGTGATTTTCACGTTTCTGAGGAAATTTCCTTGTAGTAGTGGAATTGTTTGTGTATTTGTGTGTATACGTTTCTGCCTGTTTGTCAGTGAGTTTGATTACAACGCGTGTTGCTCACCTGTCCTCGCTTTCCTCTCTGCCGCATAGTTAGGCTCATATCTTGTTTTTTACGTGGGGAATATATTTATATATTATTTTGTGTTGCTTATAGGTATTCGTCAGTGTCTGGTTGGGCATTGATGGATTAGAATTATTGAGTTGTATTCGTAATTTGTAAACTACTTTGTCATTTTCTTTCATCCTCATCTCATGAAGCCTGTTATAAATGTTAACTTTTATGGGAGTTTAGAGATTGGTATTTTTTTAAGTGTATTAACACAGATACTCAGTAAGAATTTATTCGTCTAAATTCCATTGGTAATCAGTCCTTTTTCATGTGAGTCCCTCTCAAGTATTTGGAATCTTTTTTTAGTGATATTACTGGTGGTCTTGATCAAAGTTTAATGTTCTTTCACTTGATGTTAATACGCCTTATAAGTCTTTCATACTCTCCCCTGTTGATGTTACCATTCTTAATGTTATAGATAATAGGATTTGCAGCTTTCATGGCTGTAGTGCTCTTGATATGTGTAAAGTTTCTAAGACACACCCTTTGGTGTACTAAGTTTTGTCCTCAGATGTGTGGATATTTCATGTTATCCTTTTAAGAACATTTTCAGTGGTCTTTTTTCTAGTAATGCTGTACCCATTGCTTGAAAGATATCAGAACTATCCTGAAACCTTAATCATGTGCTTGGACGAATGTTAAATTTAGACCTATTGCAGTCACCTCTCCATTCTCGAAGTTTGTGGAAAAGTTTCTTTTTCTCAACCTTGAAGTTTCCTTGAAAAGTTTAAGTGGTCCTAAACAGTTTGAATATGAAGAGGGTAATTGTACTTTAGGTGCTGCTGTCTTACTTCGTAATAGTGTTTAGACAAAGGAGCCAAAATTTGTTCCATTTGTTCCAAGGCAAGCCTTCGTCTCGTCAAACTGTCGATTTTATTTGTCAGCATCATGAACTCCTCCCTATCCCACTGTTGGAGTTTGAACCCACTACAAACGTGTGCCACGAATACGCAGTCAAAGGTTGATAATAATCTCCACCGTCAAATAGACAGTGGGGCTATGAACAGTCCATTAAGCTCTGTATTAGCAGACATCTTTATGTCCAATCTTGACAGAACAAAGCTGACTCATTCCATCGGTAAACAAACTTATTGTTTATGTGTGGGTGACACATTTTTAGTATGCAACAGTGAAATTCATAAGTACTAGAAACTGGGATAGTTCATTCACGCACATGAAAATACTGAATTTGCCGTGGAACATGAAAGTGATGGAGAGTTTCAATTTAATGACATCGCTGTGCAACGCTTGGAAGATGGTAGTTTCCAAAGATCCATTTACCAAGAGCTAACGTGGAATGGACAATATTAAAAATTGTACCATTTTTCCTACAATGGACTATAGAGTAGAATAAGTCAAAACTCTACAGAGCCAGGAGAATATGCTCTACTGAGAGAAATCAGAATAAAAG